CAANAGAAGATGCATGGAAGACAGCTGGAAACCACAATGCGCATCCTCCATAGTAGGAAGTGCTAGTCTAGGTGAAAGATCCTTAACCATAGCCATTGCATAGAATCAAGCAAGACATTACAAGGGAAAGGCGAAGATCTCACTACAGACCCCTTTGAATCAGGAATTAGGTTATAAATACTATAAAAATTCCTCACTAAGAGAGGGGAATCCCTTCAAAATAAAGAAGATTTTGTAATCCACTCTCCATCTTGAATAAAAGCATCTGGAGCAAGAGACTCCTTTAAAAGAGTGGACTAGCCAAGATTCAAAGCTGGTGAACCACTATAATTGTTCAGCGTAATCTCTCCCTTCGAACCTAGAATGTTGTTCTGTGGGAATCACCATCAATTTAGAGCCTGGTAGCTCAATTCTAACCCCCGTTCCTACATAATCTGTTCCATCACGTTTAGATCACCATCAATGTACATCAATTAAACTCGTTTTCATGCAACTAGTAAACTTTAAAATCGAGATTTGTGACGAATTTACAAGTCGTCCTTTGTTCCATCAATAGAATCATAAGGATTAATGTTAGAAATTTTATTTTATGTATAGGAAGTTGCACAATAGAAATTATGAAAGTGGAGAAAATATTGAATGTAACGATGATATCATGTCATCACTATTATGGAAAAATCAGTCATATTTAGTTGGATTTTGAGTTTTATGATAGAGAAGATAAGGAAAGAAGAAACAGAAATACATTCAATGAACTAAGAGTTTCATTTTATAAAGGTCACTGTCAGTGACAATTTTGGATAGTGAATTATGAGTTTCTTTTTTCAATTTTTTTTATATATGTTTCTCAACTCAAATGAAGCTATTTATCTAAGGTATTAAAATCTAATCAATTTTATTAATTGAGCAGAATTTATTTGTATTCACACTATTTAAGTTCACTATTTTTGAGTTCAATGTCTTGTTTTTAGTTTATTGTCTTAAGTGTGCGTGTGGAAGAACAAGAGAGAGGAGAGAGAGAGAATTTAAGAATGAGAAAAAGTAATTTAAGTAATGACTTTAATTAAGGACATTTTTGTCAAGTTTTAATTTTATGAACCTTTGACCTTAAAAGTGTTCAGGCTAAATCTAAAGTCCAAAAATTCTACAAATGTGGACTTTTGGCCTATTTCCCCTAAAAAATAACAAAGTACGACATTGAAAAGTAAATTTTCAATCCTGTTGTTAGACCCTATTAACTTTTGAGTAATTTTTACTTTGACACCTTAATATTATTTTAATCTAATTTTTTGATTTAATTTATCATAATTATGAAATTGATAATGTGTTTCAACCAATACTATGATCCACTACTAATCTAATGACCATAATTGCTTAGGCCAATAAATTAGGTTCAACTAAAATTATTCAAGTTTATATTCTCTCTAGCTTTCTTTATTATATTGTTTTTGCCAAACATCATAAATATGCTTGAATTTTGATTTTACTAAAAATTTACTCTCAAACATTTCTTATAGAGCTCTATATTTTTATTTTATTTTTTTGAAATGAAATGGTAAAATTTTATTAATGTAAAATTTTCAAAAATTGAAGAGACATGATAAAGTCAAGTGTCTGTCTTATCCATACATCAACAACACAAAGACAAAGAGCATGTCTTGCTAACTAGTGTGGTACATTATTTCTAGTAAGTATACTAATAGACATTTCGGCATATTGGAACTTTTTGTAGATCATTGTTGATATCCACTAAGAAAAGCCCCCCAAGGATCAAACTCTTCATTTATGCTCCTTGATAGCCGCCATTACTAACTTTGAATCACCCTCTAAAATGAATTAATCACAACTTGTTCATAAGCAAACCCAATAGCTTCTCTAGTAGCAATTGTTTCTATTGAATACCAGAAAAATATGCAGCTCAGACTAGAAGACAGGCAACCCATACCAAGCAAGTTGGCACCAACTAACAAGGCTGTCAGTATGATTTCAAAAGGCAACAAACATCATAGAAGATAGCTGAAGAGGTAAAAGATGATTTTTCCATCAAAGCTTACCTTGGGTATCAAAGCACCGCATCTTAGAGGTCACGTCATCACTTTTAGAAGGTCACATCACGCTTGTGGATAAAAGCCTCCAACGGCCAAATATTCTCTAACAATTTTGTTATGATAACAATAATTACATGTGTATAAAAGGCCAACATATACGCTGCCTCAAAGAGATTGATAGAAAAATCATCAGACGATTCCCAACCATTAGGAGAATACCTAATATGCTCACTATACTCATCTTCTTCCTAAAGAAATACACAGCCAAGAAGCAAGAGACCTCTATTAGAGTGGACTAACCTAATTTTTCAGCTAGGCTAACCACTATAAATTATTGTACCTTCTTTACCTGTTTTAACACACACAACACATCACACTTAGACCTCCTCAACTCATCTACCTCACACTTCCCAATTTTTTACACCATCAGGTTGGTGCCATCTATGGGAACGATATATAGTTTGACAACTCAGCCAAAAGCTCTGTGCAACTCTGCCAACTCATCCCACAGCTCTACCAACTTTGGTAGCTCAGCCAACAGCTCCACATAGCTCTACGCAGCTCCACCAGCTCATCTCATGGCTCTGTTAGCTTGGCTCTCCAACATTATCAGGCTATCCAGCCTCCTTAGGATCAACAATGTTGAAACTATCTACTTGGTCAATAGCTCTACAAGCTCAGCCAACAACTCCACGAACTTGGCCAACAGTTCTGTCAGCTCGACCAACAGCTCCAACTCCATCATCTCATCCAAAACTACATCAGGTGGTTACTTGGATACCACTCAATCAAAGCTAGTTCAAAGCTTCACTTCTACAAGACCAGCCTTTCCTAGAAATGAATAAGGGGTAGAGAGCATACCACTACAAAAGTTTCAAGACAAAATTTCAAAAGTTCAACAACTTCTAAAGAAAGAAAGTGCAAGACACAAAATGAAACATACAGGCAAGTCATATTCCTTAGATAATGTCAAGGTTATACAAAAACAACCTCCTTTGGCAAAGGAAGACCTAGAATTTACAAAAAAAAAAAAAAAGACATCAAAACAAGTAAGCTAGACTCCATAATTAACTTTACACCATCAATAGGCTTCTCTCTAGCCTCTTTTTCCTCCTTAGATGAACCCGGTGGATTGATTAAACCTAAATTGTGTTATTTATCTTATCATTTGTGAGTTAATTGTCATGAGTAATGACTTAATTATATGAGATTAATGTTATATTTGATCTTATCATGTTTTAATTAGTATTTTCCTATTTTGCAGATAAAATGACAAAATGAGAAGGCAAGAAGGCAAACATGGGAGTGGATAACACAAAGGAAGGGAGATCATTGAAGAAAAAAGCTCTAAAGATCACGTTTGGACGTCATAAAACCAACTCTGAACGTGGGGTTCTACATTAGAGGAAAAATTGCAAGGACTCTCAGTTAGTTACTTTTGGACGACACTTTGATCAAGTCCAAATGCGTGTGAATCCAAGCTCCAAATTCGGTCGTCAGTTTACCCACGTCTGGATTTGTATCCTCATTCTTAGCCAATTAGAGACCTCGATGACAGACGACTTGGGTCATCTTCCCCAATTTTGGAAAGTACCCATTGTACTTTTTCTTATTTCTTTTAGATAGTTTTCCAGATCTAGAAGTTTTTTTGTAATTTATTCTTTAATTCTTCTTTAATTTTGTGTTTTAGCCCCAATTAATGGCTGGATAAACTCCTTTACTATGGCTAGGAGAAAACTCAGTAAAAATTTGGGTATGTAATTAATCCTTTGAGCTTTAATTGACGTTTTTCTTTAATTGTTCAATTCACCTTATTTAGCAAAGCTTTCATTTAATCTCTTGATGTATTATGCTAAATGTGATGAAAACTTGAGATTCTCTATGAGTAGACTAGCTTGATGTACATGCTTGGGTTGAATTGTTAATGAATTCATCTAATTAGTTGATTTATATGAATTGAGATATTTGATTGGTCAATTGCTTGATATATCATAGACTCCTGGCATGTTAAATACTTTTGATTAACAATTGGATGTTTAGATTCATTTAGATTAGCTTCTTGATTATATTTTAAAGAATTTTCTCATTAATCATTGATAAATCCTCCAATTGAGTTCACTCCCAAGTTGTTTTTCAATTGAGATTGAAAATTAGGATTAACTTACTGCCCAATTGTTATTGAAGAAGTATCGAACACCCCAGTATTTTCCCAAATCCTTTTCTCAAGCTATTTAAGTTTATTTATTTTAGGATTCAACTACCAAATCAATCTCTCTCAAACACAAGACATATTTTCTTTTATCAAATCTTCTTCACTCTAAAATTCCCATCTCGCTGTGGTTCAACCTTGAACTCTGCTAAGAAATTACTACTTGCTTGACACCTACCCTTGGGTTACAACTTCCGAAGCGAAGCATGGATCAAAAGAGTAAAAATCCAGGTCAAGGTAATTCTCCTTGGGATACTTTTTAAGATCCCTAAAAACATAAAATTCATCCAAGTAGCTCTTTACAATAGCATCACAGTACTTGTCCGATTTGATGAACTCTTTCATGGCCTTTTGTGTACCAGTAAAAAGGCATAATATGAGTTTTGAACATTTTTTAGAAACTTCCTCAAGTTGCTCCTTTAGCAGAGCTATCTCTTATTTGTTTGGCCTTCCTAGCCTTTGCCTTGTCAACAGCTAGGTTTGCCATAGCAAACCCAGATTTCAACTACTCGATCTAGTACTTCAAAGACAACTCCCAAGCGTCAGCAATATTTATTCGACCAATCAGTCTCCAAACAATCTTATTTGCCAACTTGGCTTGAACGACCATGTCATTCCTTTGCCTTTCCAACATAGGTTCTCCGTAGCAATAGAACCCATGTAGGTCGTAGCCTACACCAAGTGAAGAAGTTCAAAAGAAACCATACCAAAATCTCTTCAAGGTAGGAAAAGATAAAACTATACTATGCCTTTGCAAAAGCATGGTAGGCCCCCATCACATCTCCAATAGTGATTTGGTACACTTCATTTAGTAAGGTCAGGATCATGAAACAAAGAGCCCTTAGCAAGCTAATCGATATAGGCTCGGCTTGTCCATAAACACTAACTTTAGCATCTGGCAGATTAGAGCTATCAAGAATTTTCCCAACCTCCTCAGGCGGGGAAGTCTTTGGGATGACTTGATCATTAGGAAAGATTTTCTCCACATCAAGCATCTCCTTATCCAATAGAAGGTCAGACACTCCAAAATTATAAACGTCCCCTTCTAGCTTCTTCAAGTTCCTCCCCGTATGCCTGAGCTTCTTGGGGTAAGGGACCTCCCTCTTTCTTGGCCTCCTTTCTAGCCTCAATAAGCTTCTTCAAAAAATCTTTATTGGGAGCCATCTTAATAGGAGCTATAGAATATGACATCGACATGAAAAATGAAAGTTAGCACAAGGAAGGGCCTTGAACAAAAAATATGTCACCCAGCAGAGGTGGAAGGCTCAATTGGTGAGCCAAACCTATTGAGCAAAAATTTTGTCCCCAAATAGAATTATCCAGCTCATCTAACATCTCTGCCAGCTCATCCAACAGCTTTCCCAACTCAGCCAATAACTCTACATAACTCTACCAACCCAGCCAACAGCTCCGCACAGATCCTTTAGCTTGGCCAACAGCTCCACCTAGCTTTTCTAAGCCACCGATGGTAGTAGACTCTAAGAAGCAAGAAGTGAAAACTTATTGGCCAGCACTGAGCATAGAGCAAATCCATGATGAAAAAAGAGAAGAAGATGTACCTAAAATGCTAGATCGAAAAGCGATGAAGATCATTCACACTAGTGGAGAAACAATGAGGAACATGAGAGTCTCTTTGGCTTTGACCACACCAAACAGGCATTGGAGCAACTAGTTGACAATTTAAACCATCTAGGGGCGCAAGGTAGCCGTTATATCTCCCTGTCCAAGCAACAATAGTAAAGGCACCGCAACTAGTGCTTCCTTCGCATGTGCCACCCCCGAGGGCGTTGTAGGCCAGAAATGGCCATTGGAGAAATAATATTCCTCTTTTTAGGAGGATATGACCCAAAATCCAGAATTTAGGGGGGAAATAAGGCAACCACCAATTGTTCTACTAGTGACACCCCATGTGGTCATGAAATGGGAACAACTAGACAAAATTATCTAGGAACATGTCGACCTAGCCATGAGGTGCGTAACCAAGTTGAAATATCAAAAACCATACCTCGATTGGGTGGACAAGGAATACGAGTATCATCGAGGATACAAGGTCCTGGTGTTCACAACCTTCTTGAGGCAAGACGATCAGTCGACCATAGAGCACATCGGTTGTTTTACTGTACAATGCGGTAAAGCAGGGGTGATGAGTACGTAGTTTTGCAAGATTTTATATCTCAGACTACTCACTTTAGCTTTTTTTTTTTATTAATTATATATTTTGCTTTATTCAAGTTTTTATTTTATTAGTAAATTATGTGTTTGTAGGTAAACAAGGTGAAGAAGAGATTATTTGTACTTAATTTGATGTCATGGAAAGCTTTGGAAATAAGTGGACTTGAATTAGGAACATTGAGGAAATTTTTTTAAAAAGTATTGATGAATGGTTTGTTGAAAGTGTTGAACCGGCTCATCCAAACAGAAATTTTTCTACTTGTTCATATCTAATGTTCTACCGGTAGGTCGAGGACATAATGAACTTGTATCAGTTCATCAGAGTTATATTTTGGCGAGGACTCCTATGTCAGGCAATTTTTATCGAATCTCTAGGTCATCTTTCTTGGATGTTATTGGAGGAAAATTAGAGACTATTTGGGATAAACTAGGACCCTCTATTTATGCCAACTGGGATAAACTAGGACCCTCTAAACTGGCCAACTTTTTGGAGATTTTTTATGAATAAGAGACAGATGTAGAAGGGAGAAAGGATTTCTAAATCAACCATATCTCTCTCTCTCTCTCTCTCTCTCTCTCTCATTTTCCCTTTAAATATCAAATTTTGTAGAAAGAAGGAAAGAGTTTGGCTTGGGACATTCTCTAGGAGGCGAGAGGGGTCTATCTCCACATCATCTTCATTATCATTTATCTCCCAGGGTTTTTCTTCTTCAGCAAAGATAGAATAGTTTTACCTTTCCATTTTATTATTTAGTTTAATTAATAAGTACTTTAAATTCCTTGTTCTTTACATTAATTTTTTGTTCTTGTTTTAAACATAAATTATTGGTTTAAATTTTGTTTTCAATATAGTTTCGTTTTCTCTTAAATTGCTATGTCTTTCATACTTGCTATTAATTCAATTTACGTATGTTTGAGGTATAATCAGATAAGGGATTCTCATTCGGGAATGGGTAGTTTGACCTAACTAGGGTTTTCAATATTAAATTTATTTTTATTGGTTGAAGAAATTACTTTTGAAAACATAGTTGATAAGTATATCTCTCTGCTTATCCACAAACAACTAATTTTGAAAATGATAATTCTTGGAATCAATGCAATCAACATGGTTGTAATTTTTTTGTGAATTAATTCAATCAATTAAAATATATATTTTCTAAATTTTGATTTTTAATTGAATATTTTTCATCCAAGTGCGTTTAATTACAACCTTGGATGAGTTATAAGCTTAGGTCAAAATTCTTATTTACGGTGAGATGAACTTTGAAGATTATCTGGTTTATTTTAATATTGTTTCTTAGTTTTTTGTTATCAATTATAACTATTTTCTAATATTTTTTCCTACGCTTGGGAAACAGTTATTATTTTACCACTTTTCAGGGCAAGTAAGGGGCTAACGATTTTTTAAAGTTCAGGCTATTTGAGAATTCCCTAACAGGGACAACCTTCAGATGGTATATTTGACATATCGCCCAACTCTGTTAAACTAGAAGCAACTCGAATACAAGTTCCATGCTCAATTTTACAGAACTAAGCTTGAAGTGGCGATGGTCGATTTGGCCAGGTTGTACCAGATGACTAGAAAGACTGTAGAGTAATACATCATGTGGTTCACAAAGGCCAGGAATCGATGCAAGTTGACCTTGCCCGAGATGGAGTACGTGCGCATTGCGTAAAATGGGCTAGGTTTTGAGTTCTGGAAGAAGTTCAAATGAATGGAGTTCACTGACCTGTTTGAGTTGGCAACGCAGGCTATGAAATACTAGCAGATCATGCGAGAGGATTTGGATTGAAGAAATGCGCTCAAGGGTACATGCTATAGAGACCCCAACACAAAGATCCTCATGGTCAACCCAAACTAGGAGTTGGAGGTAAATATCGTAGAGATCGTGTGTAGACGGCCACATATGTTCAAGGCCTTAACCAAGCCCTCAAAGAATTAGGCGCAGGCTTCGTCAAGTGTCGAAAAAGGAGCTGGTGAGGGCAATAAATGAAAATATAACTTTGACATTTCGAAGGCCGACCAGATCTTTGACCATCTGTTCGCTGACGGTATTCTAAAACTGTCATTCAATCATAAGATTCCATTGGTCTCGGAGATGAAGAGCAAGAAGTACTACAAGTGGCACAATATTTGGAGTCGTTCTACTAATGATTGTTTAGTGTTCTGTAATACCATTTATGATAGACTGACCAAAGGCCATCTGATCTTTAAAGATAAAGGTAAACCAGAGATGGGAGTCGATAAGGACCCTTTTTAGAAGACAATTGCCATCAATATAGTGGAGGTGGGGCAGTCAAAGCATGTGTGTTGGCATTTGTTAGAGAACAAGTAGACTAAATGTGACTATTGACTAACATAGGATTTTTCATATAGAGTTTTACATACCTGTCAATGTTAAATCCTAAAGTTATAGTTATGCAACTGATCCTTATACTTGAAACACCATAGTTGTCTTGTGCATGAACTTCTATATTTTAACTATAAAACATATTCATATACTAACCATGTAACTTGGATATGTATTGTTAGACATAGTTAGACATGCACGGAGACTTATGAGTGTACAACATGGAATCTATCACCCTTAGTAAATAACAGCGGAATGTCCTATGTGATCTTCTTGGATATGACTCAAGGAGTCCTTGGCCAAGGCATAATGACAATTAAAAAAGAGTTTCTAATTGATCATTAAAAGTTACAGTCCTAAGGTCAAAAACATAAGATTGACTTAAGGGTTTGATAGTAATTCTATACCCTAGTAATTCAATTGGAGCATTGTATGATAGAAGGATTAAATTGCATGGTAACTATAGACTGGATGGGTCTTTTACCTACTTCGTGCTATCTAGAGGTTGATCATGATATGTTGCTAGGTGTCACTCATGATTAGTAGAAGCCCGAAGAATGAAATTAACATAAATATATTAATTATTCTTCATAAAGGGGGAATTAGAAGAGTTCTAATTTGAAATGCTACTTGTAGTTAGTATCGAATGCCTACAACCGGGTATGCTTGAACCTATAGGGTCACACATAATAGAATTGATTGGAAACTACAGGATAAAGGAGAGACAACCAATTAAGAGTTAATTGGGCTGAAAACCTAATTAAGAGTTAAGTTAATGGTTAATAAAGGGGTTATATGTAATTATGAGATAATTGCAACTTGACCCAAACTAGGATTAGAGTCTTTAAAGCTCTATAAATACCTTTATGTAGGAGGTGGATATAAGATATAACAACTCTCTTGCTAGCACAAGAAGAACCACCCCTCATGCTCTCTCTACTAGTTTATCAATGGTTGAGGTAGATCCTTCAAGTTTATCAATTCATGTGCATACTGATAGAGGCTAAACATTTGCGAGGCTTGAGGTAAATATCAAATTCAAATTTGAATATTTAAAGTTTTAGAGAATGCTTGAAGATTGTTAAAGGCACGCTTCAAGAGGTAACCCTTAATATTCTCTATAGATCTAAGGTTTCTCGATTTGTATTAAACATTAATAGATCTTGGTATGAAGAATCAAATTATTTTTTTTAAATTCTGCTGCATTTATTATATGATTTTAGGACATTGAAGAGAGAATGGGTGTGAAAAATGGTAGAACATCTTAAAGCCACAATCAACATGCCCCTAGAAACTTGTAAGGGAATGAGTAAGGAAGACTCTAGTAACGACGATGGTGGCAATTCCATCCAGTTTAGAACCTTAGGGCATTTAATGTCTTTCAATGCCCTTGGTTTGTTGCCAACTTCCTTCAAAGTATCAAGCCAACAATCAGGATACTTCGACAGGCATGTTGAGGAGACTGAGGCACCAAGATCAACATTCCTAGACAAGGCTATTATGGTTGAAGTCTAGCTAGAGCGTTCCTCTAAGAACGGCCTGATGTAGGAGTTGGAGGCAAACAAGCAAAGCATAGTGAGCAGCCTGAAAAGGTGGCCATTTAATAAACCTACGCGATGATGTAGCATCTAAAGTCACTATAAATCCTGGTAAATTTGAAGCGAAAACCCTTCAATAGGGTCTTGATGGACAATGGAACGGCCGTCAACATCTTACCCATAGCCACTGTGAAGAAATTGGGTAGGAAGAAAGAGGATTTGGTCCATACCGAATTGATTGTGAGTGGATTCACAGAAGTAATCATCAAGATGGTGAGAGTGTTGCCCATCGAGCTAGTTGTTGGCAACAAGGTCAGCATCACTCCTTTCTTTGTGATCGACATGACGACATCTTACAACATTCTTTTGGGTCGAGACTCGATTCATCTGAGTGAGTGCATCGCATCAACCCTTCAC